AGGAGAAAAAACTCTAAATGGAATGAACAAAACTACTTAGGGCAAAAGGCATTGTTTTTTATCTTAAGAAAATCATTGTACTTATAGATGGTGAATGATTAGATACCTTAAAAAACCAGTCTGATAGGGGTATACGAGACTTACAAAAGAAGGGCTTAGCATTCACCCTTGTCACTGCGTGTTTTCCCTATAAATACAGTACTTTTTTAGGCGATACTTTTTAATCAAGATTCGGATAAACAAAAGTTGTGTTTAATTACGCACAGGGGTGCGTTTTAGAATATTATTTTTGCACTATTAAATCAATTTCAGCCTTTCTCAAATATCTCTATTTACAGGGAAAATTTTCGTTAAAGTGTTTTTTTTGTCATAGTATTGTGAAAAATGTGTTCCTTCTTCAATGCAAATATAGTACGTTGTATACGCATGAGTTCTCATGTATTATAATTAACTTATCATATAACGAGTAATTGAAGTATATTGAAAAATATATGTATATAATATATATGTATTTATATAGTTTTAATCATAAAAATCTAATCGTTAATTTTTTATTTTTTTTATCAATTATATTTTATATACTCAGTATCGCCTTTTATTATATATATTCAATATAATAATCACTAATCAAATTTTGTATATTGAGTTATATTATCAGAGTTATCTTTTTTTGTTCTGAGTGTAAATCAATGCATTGTTCAAGTGTCAACGTTGTCTTTAGCAATAGTAATTATTTTTAGGTAACGTATAGCTGACATTCATAGAATCATTTTTATCAAATAATTTATTTAACCTCGTGGCTGGTTACGTCAATTCTCTATTCTCAATCTGGCACTATAATACGTTTGTTTCCTTTTCAGTATATTCAGGGCCTAGAGACTCTAATGTGAAAAATCTCGTTTTCTGTATGCGGTTGTTTCGTCGTTTGCTAAAAATTACTTTGCTTCAGCTCGAGTGTGTAAGAAAATAGCGTTATGGAATTGTTCTCAATTACGAGTAGTATTTTTGTTGTTGTTTATAGTAAGTTGAATAATTTTTTTTTAACATAAACTTCACTTAAAGTCAGTTTATATGTACATTTTAAATATTCTATTTTGTATAATATAATGCCATTCTGTCTCGAGTGTTGATGCCTATGAGAGTCGGAAAAAAAGTTTTGTATCCAAGCTGTAATGTCTCATCACGTTAATGTAATAAACGTTCTTCTCGAATAATGCATGATATTTTTTTGGCTTTGTTCTTTAATCGTAACATTATATAGTACTATATTCAATCTCGTTTCATTGTGTCTCATAATTTTTTCTGTAACAAGTATAGATTAATAGTGAAGGGTATGAAAAATCTACTTATCTTAATTAAAATTTTGTTTTTGCTTTATACTTGGTATCTTCACATATATTGATATACTTAATATTCATTCACCATAAACATGCATTAATACTATAGTTTCTGTGGTTTGCCTCGGCGACTCAAGTTTCACAATAATTTTAGATCGATAAACAACCAATTTAACGTGTATTAAATATAGATAAATATCGTTCAATCAGCACCTCAATTATAAATATTAGTCTATATTTTTATGTATGGTTTATTAAGCGCTTTATTTTTTATTAATATAACAATCCATCGTACCTATTTCTTCAATGCAATCATTAGGATCGTGAGATTATCTGGAATTTGATTTCCCGCCAAAGTTTATTCTGGGTACGTTAAAAGAATTTTTCGATTTGTTGTTTTTTTAATGCACACGAGGTGACATTCATTTGATTTATGTTTATTATTGCATTTAATTTTGTTAATCATTCTCACCTTGGATGTTCCTTATTATACTGATTTACTTGAGCTTCTGAAACACTCGAGTCAATTTTAATGAGTTTTCAAATATCAAATTAATGGCCGAAAAAGTTAATGATTTGAAAAAAGAATTGTCTGCTCGCGAAGCTAACTATTGGGAGAGATCCAGAGCACCCATGGAGCCATATATTCAATGAATATTCAACGAATCGGTAAAAAGCTATGCGAGGCACTAAAGTACAATCAAACGCGTACGTATTATATGCAGCAAATCGAATGAAGTGTGCGTGTCGCGCCCCGAAAATATCATGAACGTGCCGAAAAAATTGACTCGGTGTAGCAGAGTGTCACCAGCAACCGGACGCATTTCTATGTATTTCCGAAGATCGATACGAGCGCTTGGTGCCCTCGCGCATTATAGGTCAGAGCTTTGTGTCGCCAGATTTGGCCAACGTCGCTAATGTATGTAAATAGTGTGTCGAGTCGTCGCCATCGTTCCTTGGCACGTTCGACAGTATTTTTAAGCGCTTTTCTACTTTTCTATATAGTTATATACGTAGTTTTATTATACATGGCTGGCTCACGACTCTACACATATTACGTTGCTCAGTGAGCTCGATCATTAGAAAACATTTAACGTTTGTTTCATCATTATTTATATCAATTATACAATTTTAATATTTCTTCATTAATTTTACTTTTAATGTACACAATATATATTTGTATATATCATATAGCAGGTACTAGCATAGCTAACACAGTCGTACGTATCGTTTATTAGTTTTCACGAATTTTAAGTTTCATATCTTTTTTCCTTAATGCGAGATTCAACTACATCGAAGGATACTAATGCTTTCGGCAGTTTTTTTCCGCATACACACACATACGCGCGCGCGCGACTGCCTACGTATTTCATCAACATTACTTCACTCGTATATCTGGACAAGGAGTTCAAGAAATGTTTTTTTCAAACGAGATGCGAAAATCGGTACTTTTTTATTATGCTATTACCGTGTGTTGTACTAGTTTTATTTCGCCTTCAATTTTCCTCTTTTACGCATATTCCCACCGAAGACTAGATGCGTTGTTAGTTTTACAAATAATACATAAAAAGTACCCTTAAAAAAGTATACGTATATAAAAAGTATAAAAATAGACAATATATTACCCCCTTAAGAATTAAGTATAAAAAAGCAAAGAATCAAAAGATAAAAGCTGTTGCCGACTGCGATAGATTCGAACACGAAAAGAATGTACGTCTAAGTGAGACCGCCGGACGAACGAATGCACAAAATGACTACGAATACAATCAGATGCATTTTTCGTACGTACGAGTAAATTAGATAAATATTATACACATTTTCACAATGAGACAAAAGATGCAGCTTTCGCGTGCGCGCAGCTTTTTCCAAATACTTGATTTCCTTAGCCGAATTATTTACATTTCTTACTACACGATTTCACCTGATCTATCTACTATCCAAACAAGCGAGAACGTGACATATCTTAGCGAGCATAATAAGTTCTGAGGCAAGTTCGCATCTCGCTGAAAAAGCACTCGCGCATCGCAACGAAGAAGCCGCTGCAACCGCGTCCTTGAAGCTCCGCCAGAGAATCGAGAGAGCAGTTGGTGTTTCGTTACACACGTATATTATATATCTATCGTTTTATTATATGTATACGCACACTATGGCCCTGACACGTGACAAGACTTTCTTTAGATGCAATTTTTTTTATTTTTTTTTTTAACGCTTGATTATCTAATGCATGTGGAAACAAAAGCTGCGCTTGGATTTCGTGTCTACGAGCTATTTGTAACAGCATGTATCGATCGGGCCAAACGAGGTGAGTCTCGAGCCGCTTGAATTCCTGTTTTGGCGAATATTTAACAACGATTAAAAATAGTTAGATTTTAAAATAAGTCTAGTACAGAATGATTAAACATCGAGACGTTGGCTTTTCGTGTGTACATTCTCAAGCAGACGTTCAATGTCACGCACGTTTACCTTTTTGTCAATTGCTTCGCGATCGCGAGCTAGATGAAAAAATTGCACTCTCACAATGCGGCTGTTATCATCGACAGAATCGATTGTGCAACGCAGAGAGATGGACTTTACATATTGCCACAGGAATATCGTTAGATTGTTTATTTTATTTTCGAGCATCGGCAAAGCTCTTTGGTTTGATTTTCAAATAGATTGCTCGACGCAAAATTGATACGTACTGACTTTTTAATACATATGTACATTTTTATCGAGTACTAAACTTATTTAATGTTTCTGAGCTAGTGCGTGGAAGAAAGTCATGCGCGAGGTCGCGAGTTCAGCAAAGATTGATTTTGCTCATTCACATCAGGGCTCGCACGCGTCGCTGTGTGTGTTTATCCTTTCAAATATTCAATAGATCCTAAATTTATATACATTTATACGTTCCAATGTTTATACCGTTGAAAGTCGCTATTTATTGATATACGCGGCTTATTTCAAATCCATCGAATTTTGATGTTGCGTTACTGTTTTGTTGGTTTTTTACCTATATAAAAATAATATATCGAAGACCGTCATAAATGTTAAATTTTAATTGAATAATTGCTCTATTTTTATTGAGGACATGGGCTCTAAAACAGAGCAATTCATCATTGAAAACCGAAAATTTTTTTTTTTAAACGTACTCATCGCATCGCATAGGCTCTACAAGATATACAACATTAATGTCAGATTATAATGTTTCATTTATCTCATACTTTATACTGTATTCAGTGAAAAAATAAATTGTCAATCATCTTGCGTTACTTTCTTTATGCTCTCCATGCACACACTCACACAGTCTAAGTATACCGATTCATTCCGATCCTATTTTCAATACTACTGATCTGTTTCCTGTACTCGTCTCTATTTTCAGTAAATACCATTTAATAACGGATTTTTCATATATAATTTTTTTACCGTCGCACTGCGCTTATGCACATGGCATTTAATCCTCGCGGTTTCTTTATCATCTATGACAGATCTAAACGTTTATATATATTCTATAGGAGTATCCGTAATCCCTACGTTAGATAATAAAATTTTAAGTTTATCTGTTTTCTTCTCGTTTAATTCCGGGTCAACAGCTATGTTATATTATACGACACTTCCCGGTCAAGAGCACAAATTGCCATTTACATGCACGTAGGCATTTGTATGCACACGTACTCATTATTGTTATTTCTTTCTGTTATGTTTATATTCCTTCGTTCACAGGATAAAGTTTGGTTTTGCATTATTTTTTTTCGTTTCTCTCGTTTTTTGTCTTTCGTTTATACTGTGGCTGCGATCAAATCATTCTCACTTCTTTTTTTTTTACATGCCTCGATATCGTGTCTGTATAACGTGTATATACCTATAATAGGATTATTCTATACATACATAGAATCGTGACCTGCTTCACCCGCGCGCATCAGCTATTACTATGGATTTTTTGATGCATATTATAGATATATATGTATTATGTATATATATATATATATATATGTATGATATTGATATCAACACAAATATAGACATGCCTTTACACATACGTACCTGTGCAACTTGTACGTACGCGTAAATGCGAATCGAGCGATGGCCTTCGTGCGCATCGAGTTAGAGCATTTATCTCTTTTTTCACTTATTGTTATTTTGTTATTTTTTTTTTTTTTAGCAAAATTTAAATACGATACTCGGTAGACATGCGATTTAAAATTAAAATTTACAACGAATATCTTTACGGACATGTATCACACTTAGCGCACGAAAACACTCGATCGAGTTGTATTATAATATGGCCTTGCTTTGTGCCTTGCAGAGGCCCGTAGTTTTCCTTAAAGACTAATATTACGCAGCAGCAACTTGAGGCGGAAAAGCAGGCTTGGTAGCAGCAACATCGTGGGGATCAGGCGGCGCTGGCGTTGAATCGTCGACGCGAGGCAGTCACTATCAGGCGACGGAGGAGGATCACGAGACGGCACTGTATTAATTGGCAACGAGCAAGTGCTGGTAGTTGCTGGCCGGGTAGGGCGTGACCGAGCCCAGTCCGAAGTTGTTTAGGCCGTCGGACAGGCCAGACTTGTCCTGCTGGCTCGGTTGGCCAGCAGCGGCTGCGACCGCGGCGTTGCTCGGCGGACTGCCCACGGCCGAGGAGGCGACGGGCGAGCCGATGGCGCCCGCGGAGGCCGATCCGATGGGTCCGAGGGCGTTGGGGGCTCCGCTCGGTACCGCCGCGATGGCACCCACCGGACTGCCGGCCGAGTTGCCGAGATTGCTGCCTCCGTAGAACTGGTGTCCGAGACCGCTCGGGTCCAGATACGACGAGGGGAACTTTGCCGTGCCCGCGTAGAGGTCGGCCAGGTAGCCGCCGTGCGAGCTGGCGCTGCCAAAGATGTCGCGGTGCGACGGGAACTGTGGATGGTAGGCCGGTGGGGCGGCCCCCGCGGCCGCTGCCTGGTGGAAGAAGTAGGCGCTCGGGTCGGCGGCGCCGCTGCTGTGCTGGCCGTGGCCATTGACGAGGCCACCGCCCGGGGACAGGCTGCGATTGCTCGGCGAGCCCTGCTGGGACACGACCGGCAGGACAGTTGCACTGTGAGGGCCCGCGCTCGGCTGCTGCTGTTGTTGCTGCTGCTGCTGGCCCGTCGATTGCTGGCCTGGATGGTGCGGGTGGTGGTGGTGGATCTGCTGCTGCATGGCGCGTTGCTTGATGTAGTTCGAGAACTCGGTCGGTGACATTCTGAAATTGACCGAATTTTTGCATTTTTAACGCTCTTCTACGATTTCGGCTAAATTTCATGCACACGAAGCTTCTGTATCAGCAAATTTCCGAATAATCCTATTGTGATTGAAATTTTGAGTTGAGGTGGCTCGTCAGTAATCATAAAAATAGGACAGCGAGGCGTATGTCCGTCTCTTTCTCGCATTAGGCAGGCAACCGCTCGCACTGTTCAAAATCAATGATTTTACTCAAATTTTGTTTAATTACTCATTATTTAGTTCGATAAGGGGTAATTTTTAACATATCAATCGAAAGGTAGTGACTTGAAGCATAACATACTCGTTTTTGGTTAAGATCTGTTGTTTATTAAAAAAATTATGACGTAAAATGTATGAAATTATGATGGCCTCCCATAAGAGCCCGTGTTAAATTTGCTATTTTCAAAGGCTTCGTTCTCAAAAATTAGTTCGATAACACATGCTGAAATTTCTACAGCATATCAAGGGCACTTTAAATGACATTTCTGCAAAGTTTCATAAATATCTGTTGTCGACTCATTTTACTGATGAACCACCTTAAACTCGAATAAGAATAGCATAAGTGCTCAAACTCGAGGCAAAAACTGAACTACTATCGTTTTCTTAGCTCTTATCGTGTCGTTCGAGTGATTCGATTCGGGTGATTTGATCAAAAATAATAGTGCGTGAAATTTCGCATAATATCGAGGTATAAGATACGAGCGAGTGGCAACATACCTATTAGCTCGTTTGCTACTAGTTTTCAACTTGGTACTGCCGAATTTGGTCTGGGCGAATGTAGCAGTGGTGAAAGTCAGCGGTGCCGTGGACCTCGGAATGAAAGCCGGAACAGGACTCGGGGATCCCTTGAAAGAGCTAGTCAGCGGCGTGGGTGATGGCGCCGACGAGGAACCACTCACGTGGCCGTTCTGCTGATTGCAGTTGTTGGCGGATCCGTTGCTGACGTTGCTCGCCATCGAGCTCGGGAATGGTGAGGTCGATTTGGGACTGAGGCTCAGGCCGCTCAGCGAGCTGCCCACGGCCTCGATCGGTCGGAAGCACTGGGCCTCGGGATTGAAGGTTTTGGTGACCTCGCGGTCGGCCGAGGATTCGTCGTGAGGGTCGGCGCTCTCCGAGTAGAGGATCTTGACTTGGCTGGTCTCGCCGATTCTATAACTCACCTCGCCGGGGTCGACCCAGACGGCCAACTCGGCTGGCAAATTTTCCAAGATGTCTGTGATGGGCACACCGCTCTCCTTGGCGGCTCGCTCGAGTACGGGGTCGATGGGATCGCCGGTCTTGAGGCATCGGAAGGCCGAGCCCTTGAAGGGCTTCTCCGGGTACCAGTGGCCCTTGAACTTGTCCTTGAGGGCCTTTTCGAGCTCCTCGCCGAATATGTTGACTCGCCGCCTGGGCAGCTTGTTGTATAAATATGATATGACGAAGTTCAACGCCACCTGCACCTCGATGTGCATCTTGCTCGGTTTGGAAAGATGAATTTTCGGGCTGTGAGTGAGCTGCTGCCGCAAATAAGCAGAGCCGCGAGCTCTTGCTCGATCAAGATCCGATCGTCGCAGTTGACGATGTCGCCGTTACGAGTGCGTACGGAGCCAGAACTGCGTCGTCGTCTAATTTATAGCACCGCGTCGATGCCTTCCTTCTACCACACTATTGAATCTGGAATTAGAAAAGTCAAGGCAAACGTTAAAAAAGTCATGCACGTATGAATACACTTATCGATTTGTTAGCAAAAACAAATATAAAGACTTGACGATTCTCGAGTGCGAAGGTATAAAAATGTTATCGAATAGGAGCGTACATTAACTATATATTTATATATTTGCATATGTATGTGGGTGTAATCAAGCGTACAGAGTTTGGATTTTTCGTACGCCGAGGTAAACACACGTGCGTTCTAATGGGTCTGCCCTATCACGCAGGCACATGCGCGCGAGCTTAGCTGAGCACTTTTAGTTTCGGGCGTGCTCTGGCCAATAATTGTCACACGCACTTTAAGGTCAATCTCTTTCAGAGTAATTCAATAAGAGCAAGCCAAGTTATTGATTGACTATTACTCTCGGGGGTGTGTGGCACAAAAGGCACGTACGTAACTTGCTGTATAGTACTTTATAATGTGTATATAATATATGTGTGTGCGAGACAGTTATATAGGTAGGCTCTCGCACTCATCGTGTTCGCAGATTCATCGCACGAGATAACCTCCTTCCTCATCAGATAAGTGCAGAGCTACAGTAAGCGCTTATTAGCGGCCCGTTAGGGAACGCGTGCGATGATAAGTCGGCGACGTGCACCGCACTGAAAGCTGCAGTGGTAACGATGGAGGAGGATAATTATTCCAACGAGTCACCAGGGCAGAATAGCTTTTTGCTCGTCGATAGAGGGCTCGAGCGCCACCGATGCGCTTGCACAACTGTAACGAAATATCTTTTAAATTCGGCAACGATTTACATAGATATACAAATGGCTTATCCGTTGCACTTCGCCACATGACAATATTGAATTATGTAAGGGAAAATGTGCAAGCTTGGCCGATGAGGACTAAAATTGAAAACGTTTAGGAGGAAAATATTTTTCGAAACAGCGAAAGGGCCAATTAAACGATCAAACGAACTTACCGAGTGAAGTTCGATCGTAATTATACGAAGTCCTCGCTCGAATACATTACCAATTGTAGACGTCCCCGTACGGCTTGCTGACCACGAATTCAGAGTACCTGAAAGTAAGATTTTTTGGCCGCGCGCGGCGCCACACCGCTCGCACCGCGTACGGCCGCCCTTCCGCCTCAGTTTTTAGAGCAAGTTATACGAAAAAAATTTCACCGCTTCTTCCAAGGGAGGGTCTGAGTCTGTGGTGGGTGGTAATGTATTCGAGCGAGGACTTCGTATAATTACGATCGAACTTCACTCGGTAAGTTCGTTTGATCGTTTAATTANGCTGGACAACATGAAACCAGTTTACCTATGAGATGAGCTAACTCTCGGATTTTGCACGATTGAGTGTTAAGGAATTTTTTAATAAGAATCTGCAAATTGTCTTTTTTGTACTCTGGGAGTTCAATACAATATCTTTTAGTATCAAAAATGAAACCTAAGTATTTCCCCTTTTGGGTAGGAATTTCGTTTGATTTTTCATTATGAATGATAAATCCCAATTCCGTAAGAAAAAATCTTGTCTTTTTCAAATTAGTTAAACACTCCTCGTAAGAATTCTCTATGCATAAAATATCGTCCAAGTAAATTACTGACGTGAAACCTTGCGCTCTTAACGATTTCATAACTACTTTCATGATTTTAGTAAACACAAGTGGGGAAGAACATAAACCGAATGGTAAACAGAGAAACTCAAAAATTTTGTCATCAAACTTGAAACGTACAAATTTTCGGCTGTTGGGGTGTAACGGTATCATAAAAAATGCGTCTTTTAAATCAATCGAGGCTAAGTAACTGTCCGGAAAAATTAATTGGATGGCAGTACGGAGATCCTCCATTTTAAAATGTTCTACTCTAACAAATTCATTCAAATATTTCAAGTTCAAAATAAAACGGTCGGAACCATCCGGTTTTTTAACTAAGAAATATGGGGATAATACCTGACCCACAGAGTATTCGCACTCTCTAATCGCGCCTTTTACTATTAACTTTTCAATCGCCGCGTTTAATGCGACTTTGTTTTCTGACTCAACGCGCGACTTATAAGTATGCATTGTTTCCGGAACAACAGTGTGAAACGGTATCTTATAGCCTAGAATTAAATTAAGAATGTAGCTATCATCCGTGATTTCCATCCATTTTTTATAAAAATATTTTAGTCTACCGCCTACATTTATTGGCTCGTTCGTTGGTTCGGACTGTACGGTGCTTGTCTGCCTCCGCGCCCTCGAGATGATCGACCCCTGTTGTTCACAAATTGTTGGCTGTTTCTGAAGAACAGCTGTTGTTTCGGACGTCCTCCGATAAATGTATTCCCCGCAACTCGACGTCCAACGTTCGGGGATTTCGTGTTTAAATTCTTAGAAGGTACCACTGGCTTGGCAAATTCTTGCCCTTCTTTTGACAGAGCTTTGGTTTCTTTAATTTTGGAAGACAGATCTTTCCCGTACAAAAATTCATCAATTTTTGTATTTTTCAAAATCTGTGCGCTGTCTTTAGCTAATCCAGGTTCTATAAACGCTTTCCGGTTTTTGGATTGCTTATTAATAATAAGGCACAGCAAATCTCCGGCTTCCTTCAGAGGCGACAGAACGTCCTCAATATCCATTCCTTCTGCTGCGTTGTTATAAATATTGGTCATAATCGAACCAATTATGGAGAGTCCTTGTGCAGCTGTTTTTTGAACGGCTAACATGTATTTGTCTCGCTTTTTAGCTGTCTCTTTCAAAATGCTGTCTAGCTGTGGGTTCAAGTCGGGTGGAGCCAGTTCCTCTAAGGTCTGATATTTTTCAATCAAGGCCTCTTCCTTTTCTTTTGACATGCCATCGCGACAGAGAAATTGCCATATCTTTAATAAATCTTTCTTTACGGAGAGTTTTTCACCTTTTGCAGAAGAAGGGTCCTCACCAATCTGCGAGCAGAAAAGGGGAACAATAAATTAGCGTCAGAGCGCATTGAAAAAATTTTTCAATTTTTAATTGCATAAGCACTATGTTTCTAGCCTCGTTTTGTCACGCGTACAAACACCGGCAGATTTCATAATAGGCAGCAGCACGTCTTGTCACGCATACAAGCACTAGCGCGATATACAACGGCTTGTCTTGCCACTCGTGCAAACACACCGTGCAGAAAGAACAGTAAACGTACATGAACGTATGCATATAAATACGAGCACGAAACTGCCTCGAGCGCCGCATACGCGCGAGCGTCCAATAACTGTGTAATTCCTAGAAACGCGTCGTCCATGCGCCACTGTTTCACAGCGCTATACGGAGGTCGGACAGTGATCCGCCATTATGCTCACCCGTCGAGCCACTAATGCATGATTTTATTAAAATAATTTTACTCACTATTTTATTCCAATTATCATCGTCGATAGTTTCGTCATCCTCCTCTTCGATAGTTTTTCCCTCGCTTTCGGTGCCCTCAGGAGACAACGGATCTCTGGGAGGCGGTGACTGCAGTACGCCATTGTTGGTGTTTGGCGAAGCATTTTCATCACCCAATGGAGATTTATTTCCGCCGTCCTCGTCCTTATTTAGGCCAGTCTTAACGTTTTCCACCTCAGCATTCAACTTTCTAACTTTCTTGAGGAGCCTTTCCAACCTCTCCTCAGGCTCTCTTTCTCTCTTCGATTTTTTGGGCATCTTACTTTACTTTTCTAGGTTAAACTCACTATACGTGTGCAGCGTGCACGCACGAAAAAGCAACTGAGGCGGAAGGGCGGCCGTACGCGGTGCGAGCGGTGTGGCGCCGCGCGCGGCCAAAAAATCTTACTTTCAGGTACTCTGAATTCGTGGTCAGCAAGCCGTACGGGGACGTCTACAATTGGTAATGTAGAAGAGCGAGGACGCAGTATAATTCGATCATCGAATTCACGAGACTGTTTGCACACCTATATTGTCTTGAAAAAATATTGCAATTATCGAATGTTGCTGTATTTATTCGAAGCACGCATGATGAGCTCAAGCACGATAGCACGACATAGGTAATTTGCTTAATGCAGCCCTCTCGTAATCAATAATAAACACACGAGCTGGTTCGATGAGCTCCACTCGAGAGATATTTCACGCGAGCCCAGCCGATACCGAGTTACATTATTTTTATTGAAAATAGTTGGCAAGCCGGCCGACTGTCCGCACTGCAGTTGATGAGAAACGACGATTGAACGATCAACGCAGCTGCACATATGTACCTACGTCGTACGCACACTACGAGTAGACCGTCGACAAACATCGTGCATGTGTCGATGTGTAACAATGCCCAGCAGCGCAGAAAACTAGATTCGTCTGGCAGATCGGGTGACCCAGTTCTTGGCGAATCCATACACGTGCGCGCGCGCGCGCGCCAGCTACGTCAACGAATTACGATTACTTAGAGGCGCTTTTACGCACGAGCCTCCGTTCGAGCCAGTCCATCCCACGTACTACAACTTGGGCGCGCGCGATTACTGCAGACAAAAGGTATCATCCTATACTGCACGACTAATCATTAAAGTTTCCTTTTAATGGCGAAACGCAGAAACGCCTCTGGATTTTTCCATTTTAAAACGATTAGCTTTTATGCGGCCAAGAAAATAGAAGCCGTGTTCTATACGGCTAGGGGAAGAAAAAATAAAGATTCCGAACGGAGCACACGCGATTTCTCCCGTATATTTGCAGCGCGCAAAATAAAAGAACTGCTGTACACGGTGTCCGAGAGTAATACACAGAGTGCGCGCGCGTATTTAAGCACAAGCCCTGCTTGGATATTATACGTACTATAAATTCAGCCAAATTCCACACGCGTATGGAACACAAGTGGATTTCAGCGACAGATTAACACTGGTTCGGAGCTTCCCACCGCCCACTGCACAAGTGCCGTAATCTTTGCCGACAACTTTATCACCCGGACTTGTCTCTCCATATACCTATGTACTACGCGATCTGCCATTTATCTGCATATTTATGCGCGTAAAAATCCCGCCTACGCTTGATGGCAATAATTTTACTCGGCTCGCGAAAAGAC